TCTCGGCTCACCGCAACCTCCGCCTCCTGGGTTCAGGCAATTCTCCTCCCTCAGCCTCCTCAGTAGCTGGGATTACAGACACGTGCCACCATGCCCAGCTAATGTTTTGTATTTTTAGTAGAGACGGGGTTTCACCATGTTGACCAGGATGGTCTCGATCTCTTGACCTCGTGATCCACCCACCTCGGCCTCCCAAAGTGCTGGGATTACAGGCTTGAGCCACCGCGCCCGGCCTTATTATAGTATCTTTTATGGTGCTCTATGACGAGTCATCTTTGATGTTACTATTGTAATTGTTGAGGAGCACCACAAGCCACGCCCATTTAAGATAGCAAACTTTTTTAAAAAATGTAACTTTTAAACACAATTGTACATGTGCAGGTTTGTTAAACAGATAAACTTGTGTCATGGGGGTTCGTTGTACAGATCATTTCATCACCAGGTATTAAGCCTAGTACCCATTAGTTATTTTTCCTGATCCTCTGCCTCCTCCCACCCTTCACTCCCTGATAGGCCCCAGTGTATTTTGTTCCCCTCTATGTGTCCATGTGCTCTCATCATTTAGCTCCCACTTATAAGTGAGAACATGTACCATTTAGTTTTCTGTTCCTGCATTAGTTTGCTAAGGATAATGGTATCCAACTCCATCTATGCTCCTGCAAAGGATGTGATCTCATTCCTTTCATTGCTGCTTAGTATTCCATGGCATATATGTACTACATTTTCTTTATCCAGTGTACCACTGATGGGCATTTAGGTTGATTCCATGTCTTTCTTATTGTGAATGGTACTGCAATGAACATACTTGTTCATGTGTCCTTATAAAAGAATGATTTCTATTCCTTTGGGTGTATACCCAGTAATGGGATTGTTCGGTCAAATGGCATTTCTGTCTTTAAGTCTTTGACGAATCACCACACTGTCTTCCACAGTGGCTAGGCTAATTTACACTCCCACCAACAGTGTATAAGCATTCCTTTTTCTCTGTAACCTTGCCACCATTTGTTATTTTTTGACATTTTAATAATAGCCATTGACATTTTAATCTGAATGGTGTGGGATGGTATCTCATTGTGGTTTTGATCTGTATTTCTCAATGATCAGTGATGTTGAGCATTTTTTCATATGCCTGTTGGCCATATGTGTGTCTTCTTTTGAAAAGTTAAAACTTTTTAATGTTTTTGTTTGTACATTTGTTTAAGTTCCTTATAGATGCTGGATATTAGACCTTTGTAAGATGGCAAACTTAATTTATAAATGTTGTGTGTGTTCTAACTATGCCACTGAGCAGCTGTTCCCTCATCTCTCTTGCTCTCTTTTGCCTCTCTATTCCCTGAGACACAACAATATTGAAATAAGGCCATTAGTAACCCCAACATGCATCCAGATATTCAAGTGAAAGATTTGCACATCCCTCACTTTAAATTAAAAGCTAGAAATGATCAAGCTTACTGAGGAAGGCATGTTGAAAGCTGAGATAGGCCAAAAGCTAGGCCTCCTGCACCAAACAGCCCAGTTGTGAATGTAAAGAAAAAATTATTGAAGAAAACTTAAAGTGCTACTCCAGTGAACACACAAATGATAAGAAAAAAAACCGCTTATTGCAGATATGGAGAAAATTTTAGTGGTCTGGATAGAAGATTAAACTAGCCACGAACAGTCCCTCAAGCCAAAGCCTAATCCAGAGAAAGCCCCTAGCTATCTTCAGTTAAATGAAAGCTGAGAGAGGTGAGGTGGCTGCAGAAGAAAATCTTGAAGCAAGTAAAGGTTGGTTCATGAGGTTTAAAGAAAGACAGTATCTCCATAATACAAAAGTGCAAAGCAAAGCAGCAGTGCTGATGTAGAAGCTGCAGCAAGTTACCTAGAAGATCTAGCTAAGATAACTGATGAAAGTGGCTACACTAAATAGATTTTTATAGTAGATGAAACAGCCTTATACTGGAAGATGATGTCATCTAGGACTTTCATAGCTAAATGGAGAAGGCAATGCCTGGTTTCAACGCTTCAAAGGACAGGCCAACCCTCCTGTTAGGGGCAAATGCAGCTGATGACTTTAAGTTGAAGCCAATGCTCATTTACCATTCTGAAAATCCTAGGGCCCTTAATATTCCTGTCAAGTCTACTCTGCCTGTGCTCTATAAATGGAATAACAAGGCATGGATGACAGCACATCTGTTTGCAGCATGATTTACTGAATATTTTAAGCTCACTGCTGAGACTTACTATCCAGAAAAAAAGGATATCTTTCAAATTATTATTGCTCAGTGACAATGTACCTGGTCATCCAAGAGCTCTGATGGAAATGTATGAGGACATTAATGTTGCTTTCCTAACTGCTAATACAGATCCATTCTGCAGCTCACAGATCAAGAAATAATTTCAACTTTCAAGTCCTTTAATTTCAGAAATACATTTTAAGGTTTTAGCTACCTTAGATAACTCTTCTGAGGGATCTTGGCAAAGTAAATTGAAAACCTTCTGCAAAGAATTCACCATTCTAGATGCCATTAAGAACATTTGTGGGCCAGGTGCGGTGGCTCACGCCTGTAATCCCAGCACTTTGGGAGGCCGAGGCGGGCAGATCACAGGGTCAGGAGTTCGAGACTAGCCTGGTCAACATAGTGAAAACCCAGCTCTACTAAAAAAAAAAAAAAAAAAAAGTAGCCAGGCGTGGTGTAAGGTGCCTATAATCCTAGCTACTTGGGAGGCTAATGCAGAAGAATTGCTTGAAGATGGGAGGCAGAGGTTGCAGTGAGTCAAGATGGTGCCACTGCATACCAGCCCAGGTGACAGTGTGAGACTCCGTCTCAAAAAAAAAAAAGAATATTTGTGCTTCAGGAGAGGAGCTCAAAATATCAACATAACAGGAATTTGTAGGAAGTTGATTACAACCCTTATGGATATCTTTAAGATGTTCAATAAAACTTCAGTAGAGAAAGTAATTGCAAATGTGATGAAAATAGCAGGAGAACTCGAATTAGAAGTGAAGCCTGAAGATGTGACTAGATTGCTGCAATCTCATTATAAAACTTGAATGGATGAGAAGTTGCTTCTTATGGATGAGCAAGAAAGTGGTTTCCTGAGATGGAATCTACTGCCGAAGATGCTGTGAACACTGCTAAAATGACAACAAAGAATTTAGAATACTAAATAAACTTGGCTGACAAAGCAGTAGCAGGTTTAAGAGGATTGATTCCAATATTGAAAGAAGTTCTACTGTGGGTAAAATGCTATCAAACAGCATCACATACTACAGAGAAATCTTTGACCAAAGGAAGAGCCAACTGATGCAGCAAACTTCATTGTTGTCTTATTTTAAGAAATTGCCACAGCCACTCCAACCTTCAGGAGCTACCATACTGATCAGTTGCCAGCCATTAAGATCAAGACCCTCCAGCAGCAAAAAGACCACAACTCGCTGAAGGCTCAGATGATCATTTATATATATATACACACACACACATATATATATATATTTTGTTTTTTTTTTTTTTTTTGAGATCAAATCTCATCTCACTCTGTTGCCTAGGCTGGAGTGCAGTGGGCTAGAGGGCAGTGGTGTGATCTCAGCTGACTGCAACTCCACCTCCTGGGATCAAGTGATTCTCATGTCTCAGCTTCCTGAGTAGCTGAGAGCACAGGTGTGAGCCACCATGCCCGGCTAATTTTTGTATTTTAGTAGAGATAGGGTTTCACCATGTTGGCCAGGCTGGTCTTGAGCTCCTGACCTCAGGTGATCTGCCCGCCTCAGCATCCCAATGTGTTAGGATTACAAGCTTGAG